CCCACTGCGCCCCCCGCCCCTCGCCCACCCGCACTTCCCCTTCCCGGAGGAGCCCGGATGACTTAGCTAAGCTCGCGTTCCGGGGAACTCCGCAAGGGATTCGAATGCGGACCGGGCGTGTCAAAGGCCTGGGGACTCACTGTCCAGGGTGCCCCGATAGACGCGGGGCCTCAGAGGAGGGCCCAGGAAGTCCCAGAGGTGCCTTCCGTCTCCTAAACATACTCATGCCTCCGAGCCTAACTCCGCACCCCTCATTGTCGGTCGAGGCGGCACGGCAGGGGACAGGAGTGGAGATGCCCCAGGGGATCCCCCCTCCCGGTGCGGGGCTCTCAGTCCTGCTGTGGGCGGGACAGGGGGAGCTGTGGAGTGCAGGCGATTGTCCGAGGATTTGTCTGGGTGCCGGCAGGGGAGTCTTGATGGGGCTAGGATCAGCGTCCCTCGCGGGCGGGGAAGCGTGCGGGGAGAGCGTGAGGGCCCCCTCTGGTGGCGGTGCGGGCAGCGGCTCGGGAGGGCAAAAAGCAAGGTACTCGCTGGAGAGCAGCGAAGCCAACTCCCCACAAAGCTCCTTTCGTCCCCATGCTCTTACCTGGGGCACTCCCTCCTCCCCCACTAGTTTCTTTCGAGCTCCCTAGCCCAGAACTGATCTGAGCGCTCTTGTCAGGCCCCGGGAGTTCCGCTTATTCAGTTCCAGCCGCACAGCGAACGGGACCCAAAGGCGTAGAGGGAGGGAGGAGTCTTACCTGGAGGGTGAGGGGTACCCCGGTCCCTTCGCCTGGCTCGGTCGCCGCGGCCTTAGGCTGGGGAGGACACTGGCTTTTCCCTGGGAGCCCGCTGAGGAGGAGGAAAATGAGCGGGTCCCGCCCCTCTCCCTGCTAGTCCCCGCCCCCGTCCCCCGTCCGGTCCTCTGGCCAGCGGGAGAAGACGCCCTTGTGGCGCTGGAGCCCAAGGTCCCCCCACCCTTTCCCAGAGCAGCACCCCCCCCACCCCCGCCTGCACAGCGCCTGCTTTGTTCTCTGCAGCTGGGCTCTCCACACACATACCCCTTCTCCCTCACTCTCCCCTTCGGACTACCCTCTGCCACCCTCCGCCCCTAGGCTTTAAGGCTCTTCTGAGAGGGCGCTTTTGACAGTTTCTCTCGCTCTCTTTCCCCCCACCACCCTTTTTAAATCTTAGGTGCCTGAATCCTCCATCGGCTCCCAGTGAACCTCCTATTCACAGCCCTACAACATACTCAACATACCCGGAACATTTGCCGAGGGTACCCAGATCGGTCCCCGTCACCCCTTCTCCTCACCCTCTTCCAAGCCCCGCCATGAAGAGCTGAAAATGGGGTTAATAACCTTGCATCTCAGGCTTCACAGATTTTTCTAAGGATAAGTATAAGAAGACATGTTAAAGTCCCATGCAAACTGTAAAGGGCAGGGAAGCTGAATGGAATTATTATCTTGCCCCCAAGTAACTCTACCCCCCACCCCCACCTGCTGGATTACAATAGGGAGGCAAGCTGTAGATACACATTTGAGCACACCGTCCTATGGCAGTTTGGGTCTCTGTAGGAGTAGGAAGTTAATAAGGAAAAAAAAGGCAGGGGGAGGGGGGTACTAAAAACCTAAGAGGAGACTAGAAACTGAGCCTGGTTGAAATCATTCTTTATCTCAACCCCCACCTGAAATCAAATGCTGACAGTGGATCCTTACCTTGCAAAGCCAGCTCTTAACCCAGGAGACAGACTGCGGAGGCCCTAGGGAGCTGACCTTAGCTAGACTGAACCTCTTTAACCTGCATTAGAGGGGCTTCTGAGACTCTTCCTCACTGGAGGAGGGAGCAGAAAGCCCCCAAGGCTGGCATAAATTCCAGCTAGGGTGGATAGCAGAAAATAACTTGCCCTCTTTGGGATGGGCAAATCTTGTTCTGATTCAGTGGTTTTAACTTGTGCCTTCTCTCTCTAACTCAGGAACAGCAGGAGGCTGAACTGCAGGAATCTTTGGTCACTCATTGACAGGGCCAGCATAGAAGCCCCCAGGGCTGGAGGCTGGAACTGACTGGAGCCAGGAAATGGACACTAAGGGGGAGGGGAAGGACACTATAGCAGCTACCTGCTATAAGTAACAGGTTGAACAATCAGGCTCCAGTATGTGCTGTACCAAGAAGTTCCAGGATTTGGGGGTGGGGACTCTTATTCTTCCTCTCTTCATACTGTTTGAGGCTCATGAAAGTATTTTGACTCTGACCACCTTGCACGAGGTAGATCACAACAGTAATTTTCAGGCTATTCTGGTAAAAGAAAAACAAAACCAAAACTGTAGTGTCCTGTGTGCCTAAACCTAGCATTTGAGGGAAGGGGCTCAGATTGGGGTACCTCAGAGACTTGTCACTTAAAACCATTGCACAGCTCCCTGCTCTTCTTTACCATCTTGGTCAAGAGGAATTTCAGGGAATAATCAAGCCAGCCATGGAGGCAAAAAAAAAATATTTTCGGTCTAGTTCAGCATTCAACTTCTGTCCTCTCAGGCCAGGGATCAGCTGACCCCATGCTAAAGGCTCTGTGCAATGTGTCCTCACTCCAGCAGTGTCAAGTCCCCATGTTCCCACAGTTAGAGTACTCAGGGACTACAGACCTACCGCCCCCACTATCCACATCCCATCCCACCCCCCCGCCCCAGCTCCACATCTGGAGCACATCAAAAATCTCAGTGCTCTCAGTTACGCAAGAGGTCGAGCAGCTGGAAGCTCAGGAAAGGGGGAGGAAGAGAAGAAAGCAGAAAACAGCTTTCCAAGCATGCTTCAGACTTTCCGAAGTGGAAGCAGGGGGAGGGCAAAGGCTGGGTGTGGAAGAAGAGTGGATTTTTTTAGGTCCTCTGCACTGGCTATGTCAGCTTTTGTCTAGGCACATTTCCCACCTCTGTCCCTCCTCTCAAATGGTAGCCTCTCCAGCTCCAGAGAGGTGATTATTGCTCATTACAGCAAGTAATTCCTATAGATCCACACCCTATCCCAGAAAACTATTCTGGCCTCTTCGGATCCTGATCTCTGGCATCATTAGTGTAGGTGTGGTGGCAGCAATGTTGCCAAGTAACTCCTTACTGCATCCAACTTGTGGAAAAAGTTCAAACCTTTCTTCAGCAGCTGCAAAGCAGCAGAAACTCTTCTCAGCTTGTCTTTGAAATTGCCCAATCCACACTTCCAAAGTTAAGCTAAATCCAAACTGAGTGGAAATTTGAGTAAGACAGAAGACTAATCTTGTCAACCTCCATGGTTCAGGCCTTCCTATATGCTGAAATGAACAAGCATTCATTTGGGAAAAAGAATGGGAAACAAGACCTATTTCCAGTTCTGTCTTGAATTTGTAATGCCTTTTTCACATAGCCCCTCTGTTAATCAACCTGATCATACAGTGTAAATGTGGAAACTCTCCAGAATTGAATCAAGCCCTAAATAACCACTTAGCCCCTATGCACAGCAAGGCAAAAACCTATTTTTGATGGGGGTTGAGGGTAGTAAGAAGTGACTCAAGCTTGTAAAAACTGTTTGCTTGACCTCTTGTATTTGAAAGGGGCAACAGCTTCACTTAGAAAGGTAGTCTAATATTATTTTCCTAAAGGCTTACCTGCACATCAATTACTAACTCCCCAGGGTAAAATGAGACTGACACTTGTAGAGATGCCATCTGCCATTGGGTGAGAGCAATGCATAGCAACCAACTTTCTTATGGATCTTCTATTCTTGGAGACTCAAAGCAGCTCTACGGCTGCAATTGTTTACTAAAGCAGGCAAGAAGAGGGAATGGAGGGAGAGAATAGTTGCAATGAGATGCAAAGGGGTCAATTCTGAGGTTTTGATTTTGAGATTCCTTTAAAGCTTACAAGACAGAAGCCACATTTTTACTGAGACCCATGTTATCACTAGTTGTTAACACTTCTCTACCTTTCAAAAAGAGGCTTTGTAAGACGGTACAGCCATTGCTTCTGGTTAGACTTTATAATCTTTTTGATGGGGACTTTTTCTATTTTTCTCCTATCTTTCTCCAATGAGCCCTACCAGATGTTAACTTTTAAGAAAGGTAATCATGGAAATCTCTCAGGTACGACCCAGTGTGAACAATTTTAAATTAATTGGAGGACAAAGTTTCCCATCAGAGATGCATAGGTAATTTTGGGTTTGAAACAACAGATTTTTTAAAAAAAGAACTCCTGACCACAGAGGTGTGCTCACTGCCTCCTCTATGTGGAATTAAACCATAGCAGGAACCACAGAATACTTTGTCAGATCTTATTGTTAGTCTCCTTCACAAAAGGCCAACGAAAAGTCCACTCGATGCTATGGAAGGATTAGCTGCCAGAGTGTGTGGCATGGTTTTGGTGTGCATTTCATTGGATTAAGGTTACAGTTTCAGAGAGCCAAGTCACAGTTCAGCAACATTACACCAGCTACTTTCTATTTCTCTTAAGAAAAAAACCCTCAAACACTTGGCTTTCACCATTAAAATACTTAATTCCCAGATGCTTATTCATTAGATTTGCCTTCTAATTTGTTGATGCTCAATAGTTTTCAAGTTAAATAAAAAGTGAGGAAGAAGCCTTTTCTGAGGGAATTAACAACTCCCAAGGTATTCATCACTCATCCCTAGATAGCTTACCACTGTTTATCTAATGGGGAAGCAAATGCTCTAATATATCACAAACTATTGTTATTTGAAGATGAAGCCTCAGTTTTCTAATTCTACAACTGCCCCTGACAAATTAAGTAGCATTAAATTCAAAAGCTGTCATAAACACGTGTATGTGTATGTTCGAATGTAGAAAAATACAGAAGGAAGCACAATACATGTAATAGGGGAAATGGCAATGAGTACTCGAGATTATTTTCTCTTAAAAAATACATATCATTAATTTTTGAACTGAGATCCCATTACATTATCCTGAATCAGCAAGGAGACAACAAAGTATGAGACAGTCAAGAGTCTAATAAGCATTCATTTTATAATACTCTTTATTTGATTAAAGAATTTGACTTCTTTGTGTACAGTGGAATGTTATATTCCCTATGTATTTTACAGGGTTACAAAACGTCTCTCATTTTAAATATTACCCCAAAAGTAATTTCAGAAAAAAAAGTTTTTGTGAAACTAGACTTGACTTTTAAAAAATCATATGGACAAGCAACTCTCAAACAAAACTGAATTAATAAGATTTCTTGTCTATTTAACTACATGACAGATTTCTTGTCCCAGTTCCCTTCCTCAAAAAACCTCATGTGGAAACCAAGCTAGAGATAAAGGTTTTTCCCTGATGCAGTTAAGGGAAAAGGAAAGGCCAGAAATTTCTTTGGCAAACAATTCTATCCATGGCCATTTGTGTGTGACTGCTTTGCTTCAAGTACAGCACACTCTTCATGGGGAAGGCCAATGTTGTTCAGAGTGTGAGTGGTACTCGCACTGAAGTGCAGAATTCATCTACAGTCATCCACCTCTTCCTCCTGCCTTGTGGCTGCAGCCTGGCAGCAACTCCGCCTACCTCACCAAGGCAATACTGGGTTAAAAGCCAATGCTGGGCTGGCTGATATATTCTTCTCCACTGAAAAAGTAACGGAGATGGGGCTAAGAAACAATCACTACACGATGACACTCAATAGAAAAGCCTTAGGGGAGGAAAAGGAAGGATTTCAGAAACAGAGATAGACAGGCTGGTGAAAAAATGCTAGGCAGGCTAGAAAGAAATGGGAGTACATAGCAGCAATCTAACACATCCCGATGTAATTATCTGCCTCTTGAAATGCTAAAAACTTGGTGGTGGAAATGGAGTCTCTCTAATAGCATAGGGCCAATAGGATTGGCACAACAACTCACTGAACCTATAGCCTCCAAAATCATAACCTCGTCTCTGCTAGGAAAAAAAAAAAAAGACTGGTGACATAAACAATAGCCAGAAAGAAGGAGGTGGTGAATCAGAGGAATGTGAATGGATTACAGACTGTGAGCTATTATGTTTTAGCTGAAGTACCCCAAATGTGAAGAACTAGAAGCCTGGTAGCACCAGCAGCAGACATGATTACTTGTGAATGAGAAATCCCTAACTGGACATAATCATTCTCCTTCCAGATATCTTTAAGTGGGGGCTGTGCCATTTGAAAGCTATTTCTCAGCTGTCTTTGATATTGACACAAGTGGGATTCATAGTATTGTTCAAAAATGGAGGAGCAGGCCTGAAAGAAAAACAACCTGGCAAAGGACGGAAGAGATGAATGGATATAGGAAAAGGACATGAGACATCCTTATCTTTCAACTCCTAGACCCAATAGAACTTAAGCAGTTCACCTGTATAGTCCAAAAAAGAAAATCAAGAATGGATTAGATCAATTTGTTCTAGAATACCAAACAAATACACCGCTTATATAGAAATGATCCCAGTGCTTGATTAAATGTAAAGAAAGAAAAAAAACTAAAGGTAAAGAAAAGTAGTACGAAAGATTAATATCTTCTGCAGAGAAAACTTTAAAAAAACAAAGTATAAAATATAACTATATTTAGGGATTAAAATAAAGGAACACCGTAGGTGAAGCCAGAGAAGGTGTTTAACTGGGGGCATCATTCTCTAGAGAGCTTGCTTTCCTGCTGGCCAGTAAAATCTGCCAAAGAAATCAGGAACCTTTCCCTTTATGTTTGTGTCATTTCTTTGCCAAAGAATGTCTCTGTGACACTGAAACACTGAGGGTGAGTTGAGGGTCCTTGAGCGCCGAGAATCGTGCATTATATCAGAAATAAAAGGTCTCCAATGGCTTGTAGATTTGGAAAACTCTTCAGCCACTGTGGCTTCTTCTTTATTAATTTGGAAGTTTTCCTTTTCGGTTCCCTGGTCTTGGTATTACAGGATTTCATACTTATCCACTAGGAAAGTGGTCTCTGTGGAAAACCTTACAGGGCTGTTCCCA